AACTTGCGGCATTTGATAAATGGATGGAACGGTCTTTTCACCCAATGTGCCTGATTAAACTAAAATTATCTTTTGTGTTTTAGTGGTCAAAACGTACGCGATAAAAGTATTAGCATTGTTAAATGTTCTCAGAGACGAAACGATGTTGCGCAGTGCTATTTGTATTTGCACAGAATCTTGAGTTTTACCAGCGTTCACGTCCATCCATATAAGACAACGATTTTCTGGCTAATCTGGATGTTTAGAGTCATTATCCTCATCGTTACCAGTATCATCATCACTTTCTTCGTCTCCGCCGCTTTCGGCAAGTGCCTGGAATGGCTGGACAAGTTGCATATCAATAGCTCTTTCATTAGACGTGACATAGGAGATGGAGGTTCAAGTAGTGTGAAAGGCGGTTTCTTTTGTCGTAAATGAATAATGTGTAAATCTTTAGCAGGATTCATTTGGTCAACGACTTCTGAGTATGTGCTAGGCAATAAGAGAATCTCTTGCTCATCTGGAAAATGAGAATGTTGTCGGATCATTTTAGCATCTAAACATTGAATGGAAAATATTGTTCCTTTCTTCCCAACATACATTGGCTTTTCTAGCACATTAATCCTTTTTGACTCCTCTCCAAACAGTATCCTTTATCGACGGCAGTTTGTACAATACAGTGAGAAATAGTTTTAAGTAGCTGAACCCATTGAATCAACCAGAGCCCTACAGGTTGCCAGTATTTGGCACCCTATAACCTAACCTATAAAAAATTTCACAACCTAATCCTAACCTAACCTATGAATTCGACAACCCAATCCTAATCTAACCATTGAAAAAAAAATAGAACAACCTATAACCTAATCTATAGCTTTTGCAACCTAATCCTAATCTAACCTATATGTTAGGTCAGGATCAACCTGCAGGGCTCTGGAATGAACTCTCGGCGATCTGCCTTACGTAAGGTATGATTGAAAGCAGAATAAAGACTCGTACCCTCAACATTCCATTCCATCGTGTATAAGTGAATTGCAGCACTCTCATTTTGTAGAAGATCATACCGGTCATACATGAGGAATGTCCGAGGCGTACAAGAGAGAGAAAGTTAGCTAGAAGTGCTCAAACGTTGTTTGAGAAGAGTGATAAGAGTGTCGTCAAGAACAGCCCTGCACTTTGGCTCTTTACTGTATTCCATTGCAAGTCATATACGTCTCGGCAAGTCGTTGACGACATGTTGCAACGGACTGACAGTGTCTTCCAGCGACATCAGTTAATAGTTTTCGTAGCCTTCAATCGGACCCATTGCTGACGTTTTCGGATGCAAATCCGGGGTTCACTTTACTAATGCTACCACCACTGGCCATCGATATAATATAGAGTGTTTATAATTATCTACTATGATATTAATCCGGGCTTCGGTTGTCAATCTGACTTCTCATAAATAAAGACTGGTCCCTAAAATGGTCAAGTAAAGTAAAGTATGCGTTTACTGGTTGAGTGGATGAATCAAGTTCGAAAATTAAGATAATTGCTCTCAGTGATCAATCAAATTTGACTTTACTCGATATTTTTATCTTTTTATGAACCATCTGAAAAAAGGGCTTTAGATACGTGCAATCCGCTGTGACACGCGGTGCTGAAGTAAGTGATAAACCTGTTACTCGTTATTTCTTTACATCATAATTCACTGTAAAGTTCAATTTTTTTTTCAGATCCAAAAAGCAGTGACCAGCCGGAAAACCCTTAACAGCGAACTCCTCTTGCAACAAAACTGCACTCAGGAGCGAAACCCTGTAATTCAGAAAGGTCTTTTGCAGTAACGACATGTGCAGTTATGTGATCGATGAGATATGCTTCGGGTTCGGCGACTGGAGCCTCCCATGACTGGAAAAGCCTGTATGTTGGACCTCAAAAGCTTTCACCAAATAATGTTCCACTTTATGTAATATACTAATTTATGCTTAATTGCTTCTGACACAAAAGAAAATGCTGAAAATCAGATACATTGAAAGAGACACACACACCCTGATGTGTGACGACAGAATTCATATCATTCTTATGTGTCACACATCAGTGTGTGTGTCTCTTTCAATGTATCTGATTTTCAGTCTCTGAGAACATTTAACAATGCTAATACTTGTATCGCGTACGTTTTGACCACTAAAACACAAAAGATAATTTTAGTTTAATCAGGCACATTGGGTGAAAAGACCGTTCCATCCATTTATCAAATGCCGCAAGTTGAGAGTATTTATGTGTTTTGCTCGAACAAAACATAGCATGAAACATGGGCGAAAAAGTATGAAAAGGTTCGTGAAGTGATACTAAAATAGAGCCGATCTGCTATCAATTAGATAAAGATGCTGCTGCATCTTCAAAGAGCAAGCTACTTATGAGTACCATGCCACCCACATTGGATAAGCAAGAAGCATCGTTCATGTACTTTCAACTATTTATTGACATTCTACTTCGAATGGACAATAGTTATAGTAATGCACTACAGGAACTGGCAGAAAATGTGCGAAAACAGTGTGAGGGCAGCACCGTGAAATTGGACAATATCAAAGAGTTTGAAGAGAACTATTCTGCTGAGAAGGCTATTTGGTGGTACACTCGTGAGTGTTTTCTGCATCGCATATTAAACAGAGCTTTAAGAACGTTCGATGCGGACACGCTATTCAAACTTCGATTTTTCATAAAAGATCTGCACAATCAACTGCAACAACTTCATTCGAACAACACAAGTAAATACACGTGTTATATTGTAGACTGTACGAATTGTTTGTCTAACAACCGATGCATACCCAGTCCAGATCGAACTCTGATCTAAATGTAGACGTCTCCCGTTATCTGTGGGTACTCTTTTTATCAGACGACATCTTGTATTTTAAATTAACTGAAGCACTAGAATGACAATTATGTTTTTGTATTTCTAGTCGACTTTAAGAGCAGTGTTTTTTCATTCTCTCTCACGAGGGAACCTATGGAGATGAAGCACTCCGATTTCGTTCGTTCTTGCGTGGATCGATAGGGCATGTGGAGTGGGTAAAAAGCCTAAGAGGGTTCGGGCGGAGACTTTTCCCTTGGGAGTTGTGGGCATTTCAGAAAATATGCAGGTTCCAAATGAATTATGTTATCGAGAAAAGCCGGACATGATGTAGCTGGCTTAATGTCAATTTATAAACCGAAGGATAATCCTATATGTGATCCCAATACTTCTCAAGTATGTGTGTTCCGTTATCCTTGATCGATAAGAAGTCAAAACAAATATTTTGTCAAAAGTTCTTTTTATGCTCGATCATTATTTTTAATAGTCGAAAAAGAAAATCATGAATTACTCCGTTCTGTTGATAAAAATTTCGAAGCAGAAGAAAAACGAATTCAAGATAATGGACTTAAATTTCAATCTAAAAATGAAACTTATAATGTTCAAATTAAAATTGAGAATATTATGAAAGGTTTAAAGGTACGCATGACCGAACCGGGTTTAGGTGGCGGGCAGTGCCTTATGTACAGAACAAAGTGATTGGAAAGGCACAAATAAAATTTTAAATTCGGACTGTTTCAATATCAATCGAACAGCGGAAAAAACACTTGTAATTACAAAATAAATTAGCTGATGATGATGGAAAAATTTTGAAATCCATTAAAATTTAGCTTTTAAAATCTATATGGACGGCATGATGTATCTTTCGATTTGATTGGGTGAAAAAAAGTTTTGAAATTTTCTTATTTGAAGGGGACCGTTAGCTGGCCACGCCGAACTGTATAACAGGATAAGAGAAACAACGTATATATATCGTCAAAAAATTCTTGTTAAATTCGTCTTTTTACTTCCGATGGAATGACAAACCGAAAATTTACTTCGGTTTTTGACCATTTTTCACTTTCTTCAACTCAAATGAAACTTTGTCACACAGGTTTTAGTGGAATCGATGACCCGTGAAAAATGCTACAAAAGCAGACGAAAATAATTGTTTAAAAAGCTTATACTGATATTATTTATGATACAAATTATACATGTTGTAAATTCTTATTCTCAACTCCGTTTAATTATTTTTGTTACGTTTTCTTTTCTTCAAAAAAGAGTGACGTATATCTGGGAAAATAATCACTATGGTTCTTTTTTTAACCTGTAATAATGTTTTTTGAAGAAAAGAAAACGTAACAAAAACTTTAAATCTTTCATAATATTCTCAATTTTAATTTGAACATTATAAGTTTCATTTTTAGATTGAAATTTAAGTCCTTGTTGTTTCGATTGTTGTTCACGATTTTCAGCAATGATTCGCTTATTGTCGTGACAACTTTCAATAGATGGAATTAAGTTTGTCGAATGATCTTTAATAAGATTACGATTCGAAATATTGATGAAATCACTTGAAAAACATTTAACTAACTCCATATCTGTACGACTTAAATTGATATGACATTTCAAATCTAATGTTTCATCTAGACCTAATTTATTTTTTACACGATTTCTGAATATCTCCACCTTCATGAAGTTGTCGTCCAAAATCAGCTAAATATTTATTAGTATTATAGTTACGTTGATACAAAAGATAACCAATTACTTGATTAATAGAAACACTATCGGTCAATGCGAATTCATTTAATTTACAATTTAAATCGGTTAGCCTTCTTCGTTTTTGGCGAGAGGACACTTCGCTAAAATCCCGTTGCCGAAAACGAGCAAAGATCGTAGTGTGATTTTGTCTATAAGAGCTCTATTACGAGCAGTCATCGTGAACATTTTTGAAACGAAAAAGCTCGAATAACCATCATAAATATAGAATCGGAGATTTGTCGCAGTTCGCCACTTTGGCCAACGTTCCCCAGTAGACATTCGCCAATCGGCAAATGTCGCGGGAACATTCGCCAACTATGGCGAATGTCCACACGACATTCGCCAGTCGCCAATATGGCGAATGTTTATTGGCGAAACGCGACTTTACCAAAACCGACCATACTTTTCACGAGGCGAACGATGTGGATTTGTAAAGCCCTAAAAGTACAACTGAACTCAGTATAGCATGTTATCAGCAATTTTAGCATTTTCAACTTTCGAGGAATTTGATGTTGATTCGCATAGTGACCCCAGATGCAATGTGGATGGAATGTTCAAATATCGAGAACTCGAAATTTCTAAAATGATACTTCAACAAGGTGTATGAGCAGGAAGCAGTCAAGAATGCGGAAGACAGAAAAAGGTCTTAGCGCCTGTCCAGTTCTCGACATCTGTATAACTCGATAATCTCCAGAAGAGATCAAGCTGAAATTTGGTTTTAGATTTTCAGAAATCGAGATTCTAATATCGTAATTAGAAACCTGGTTAAGTATGACGTAGAAGCTCTGCCGAGTTTGGGAATTTTGAATATCGAAAACAAGCGATCTTTGAAGTCATGTCTCAATATTTGATACAGCCTTACTATCAGTTTAACGAAACTGTCTATGTTTATGACTTCAGTTAAAGTTCATGTATTCTGATGAGATCGTGTAAGATCACTCCGAAATATTTTCAATTTGTCGTTCTTATTTGTTGTTCAATCGAACAAAACAAAACGATAAATGAAAAAGATAAATGAAAGTATAACGCATTTCAACAGACTGTTTTCTGTAATATACGTTATCAAACAACTTTATATGTCAAAATCGAGCTCCCAGTTGTAAATGAAATTTTGCTCAGTGTTTTGGAAAAATTCAAAAAGCTTTTTCTGGATTAAGAAAAGCTGTTGTACAAATATTAAATATATAGCGCATTATAATCCACAACTGGATTTGTTCGTGAAGTGATACTAAAATAGAGCCGATCTGCTATCAATTAGATAAAGATGCTGCTGCATCTTCAAAGAGCAAGCTACTTATGAGTACCATGCCACCCACATTGGATAAGCAAGAAGCATCGTTCATGTACTTTCAACTATTTATTGACATTCTACTTCGAATGGACAATAGTTATAGTAATGCACTACAGGAACTGGCAGAAAATGTGCGAAAACAGTGTGAGGGCAGCACCGTGAAATTGGACAATATCAAAGAGTTTGAAGAGAACTATTCTGCTGAGAAGGCTATTTGGTGGTACACTCGTGAGTGTTTTCTGCATCGCATATTAAACAGAGCTTTAAGAACGTTCGAAAAAAGTTTAGTCTGAAATGGGACACTTCTGATTTAAACATCCTTTCAAACATCTTTGAAAGTTTCCTTTATCAAATTTGTTTTTTCAATTTTTTGTTCTACAGTGTTATTCAGCAATAGTTCCATGGATCTATCCATCTACAGTTAATAATATGCTTGTTAATCCATAACACGGTTAGTGGCTTAGTTTTTAATCATACAACAAAAAGAAGTTTCTAATTAAAAGACGAATTATTACTTTTAATAACTATTTTACTAATGTTTCATCATAACTCGTAGTTTCCTTTTGCATAATTTAGTGCAATGGGAAAATGCGTAGTTGGAGAAGTACAGCGTATGAACGGTCGGAAGATCGAATCCAGGAGAAGAACACTTAAAATTGTTCTAATAACTATTTTATCTAGATCTAATAATTCATGATTGGATCTTTTACGTCCATGGGCGATGGCATTAATTTTGTAGCAAGATCATATTCTGAAAACAATGCCTTTAATACCGGTCGCCCATATTCTGCAGGATCTTTTCCACCAATTGCTGCACTTGACCAATTCTAAAATGGAAAAACAATGATTGTAGTCACGATACGGCCATTGTGTATAAACTGTTTTGAACTAACATAAGATACATAAGGTGTAGCTAATTCAAATTTTCACTGAAAATTTATATCAGCTAGATAATCTGATTTATCTTCTAGGTTCAAACCTATATCAATTAATACTTCAACATCCACAGGTGCATAGTCAGCTGTTGTAGTCATTCTACATGATGATGATGCTGAATTTATTTCTTTTACCATACATAACTTATTACGACGACTACATCGTTTGCTAAAGTCTTCTCGTTCTGCTCGTTTAGTGTCTGTAGTCACATTATCAATAGCATTCCACATGATGAAAATTGTTCAGTTCGATACTTCTTCTTCAAAGAAATTAAGCAGATTATGTCGTATAAATATACAAACGAATTGATATTCCATTATGAGAAATCAAATTGATCAATCAAAAAAAAAATCAAAACAATTACTTCACCTAAAAACGGTGTGTTAACTGGCCTGTTTACAGTAAAAGCATCCAACCGTGTATGTGAAAAACGACCTAAAAACGGTCCACTAAGTAACCGTTAATGGCTAGTTAATGGCCAATTTCTCTTTGAATAATAAACAGTCAGGAAACGTTCAGCGAATGGTCAGTAAACGCATCGAAACATTCAAAAATCATTTTAGAATTGCTGTAACTAGCCGCTAATGGCCTGCTTACAGTTAAAAGCATCTCTAATCATGTGTATGAAAAACAACCTAAAAACGGTACGTTAACTGGCCGATTAATGGCGAATTTCTGTATGAACAATAAATAATAAGGAAACGTTCAGTAACCGGTGACCGTTAACTGATCGTTTTCTGATCATGGACGTTTTCAGACGATTTTTAGACTGTGAAACGTCCACACTAAAAACGGCTTGTTTACAGGCCGTTTCTTCGCCGTTTTGAGAATGTTAGTGTGCGTTTTTTAGTGACCGTTAACGAGCCATTTTTTTTACCTGGGTACTTTGTACGCCAGACTAGCGATTATTTCTTTTATAATGTTTATTTAACTGAGTGCCGATAATAGAGTTAATAACGAAACGATGCTGATGAAAAGGTTATGCTAAAAAGCTTAAACTCCCTTCATCCATCGATAAAGTTCAAATTCGAGCAAGAGCAGAACTATAGAATCCCATTCCTGGACGTACTTATAGAACGAAATAATAATGCATTTGTTACCAGTGTCTACGGGAAAAAAACAAATACAAATTAGAGTTTCTCCGAAGAGAATTTCAAATTTTCGTAGATTTTAATTTCTCCTGTGACATATGCATAATTTATATTATAGCGAGTGAGAAGAACTTCGCTGACAATTAGATAAAATAATTGGCAGGATAGAATATGTAACTATTTAAAAATTTTTCTTCTAGATGACACCAATAGTAGCACTAAATACTAACTACTCTTACTCGTTCCGTTCGAAAGGAGTCAAAAACTATCTGGATATTAGAAAGAAAAAGTATTCTTTTTTCTCATGATAGATTATAAACTGACACGAAAAAGAAAGAGAATGTGCACTTTGTATTATTAATCAACTTTTAACGAAAAAGAAATAAAAGTAAGCATTCTCAAGTGTAACACGGGTTGGTTGAATTTTATATTATTCTTAAGTTTATCTATCAAAGATGAGACGGTCGAATGAACAACCATACTCATAATATGATGTTCCATCATTAGATAAAAGTTTAAATTCGAGATATATTATGTTAGAAATGCAGCATATCTGTGAGTCTAAAGATGTTGATTTAACAATTGGTTTTCTATTGAAACCATTATTAACTATGATGAAATTAACGGGTTTATATCATGAATATTTACCAAAAGCAGATAAACAAAAACAGAATCGGCTACACTTTGTTTATTGTCTATTTATATGCTTTTTATTATGGTTCAACACATTCAAATTTATATTCGTATTTGTATTAACTAATTTAAGTTATAAATATGCACATTTACCAAGGTTGGTGATGGAAATTGTTTGTCAATTATGGTTACTGCTTTGCTCTAGTACACAGACAGCCTTCGTTATTAGTTCATATCAGAGGAATAAATTTTATACTATTATGTTTGATTACAATTTTGCTAAAGGTATTAAATGTCAACCGAGCATATCAAAACGGTTGAAATTTGTAATATATTCCGCGACTACATTCGCTTTGATTACTATTATATGTAATACCCTGGCATTGTTTCTTGCCTATTTCGGTTCATCTGAATATATAAAGGTATTTCAAATGTTATTAGCACCATTTCATCAAAACTCGACAATCGCACGAAATATACCTTATAAATTATTTATTTGTTTATTACAGTTTTATGACTCAGCAGCGTGGATTTTACCGCCAACTTTATTTGCCATTCTATGTCTGATTGCATACAATGAATTTAATAAATTCAATGAATATATTAAAGAAGAAGTTCAACAGTCAAATGCACAACAGCGAGTGGAATATTGGCGTCAGTCTCATAATAAGGTGGTAAAACTTGTGTATACGTTAGATTCAACGTTTCAAATCTACAGCAGTCTCGCTCTAAGCATAAATATTGTTATGGCATTACTCATGTGGTATATAATAGCGATTATGTGGACATATCGACCAGATGGGGGAACATTGATGATTGTGATGGTCCTTTTTTGGGCATTTAACAGTATGGTTTATATTTTTGTCATAGCGATTACAGCTGGTCTATTAAATTCAGCCGTAAGTAACCATTTCATTCTGTTATGATCTGCCTTCCTCGGCAGCTCATAAGGTTCATTCTCTCTCCATTCTGCTCTTATACCATTCTTGCGCAATTATGTTATTGCGCAACTCTTCTTTCATTCTTTCTTTTCGTTTCTTTCT